TATGAACCTGTCCCCGAACCTGTTCGAAGCTGACAATGCCATTTTTACAAGAAGCAGCGGACTCGGGATTGAGTGACTACAGGTATCATCTGAACAAAATGGTTCCAAGGTCTTTTCGTTCAGAAACTTCTCAGCACAAGCCGAGGAACGTCACTCCTGTCGCTGGCCCCGCTCGCAAGCTCCATGCATTCCAGTGGTGTGGCAAGTTGGGATGCAAGGAGCCATCATGCCTGGGCAGCTTTCAGGTACACTGCAGTGCGTGCGGTATGGAGAACGCAATACTACGACGGCTCTTGGTTTTGCTTGAGGTTTGCGGCTTTTGCATCATCAGGGCATGGGGGCCTTTACTGTTAGTCTGAAAGCACAAACAGGGATCAAGAGAGAGCCCGGATGCCCCCTGAAGATCTGAGCTGTGATCCCGGAAATGTGAGTGATGCTCATGTGGTCGTGGTCCATAGCTGCGATGCGGAAGTTGCCGATCTGGATGAAGCTTGGCCCGAAGGTGATGCCGTGCGGAAACCTTCTTCCCCACTGCACAAGGGAATTATTAGACCTCCTACGACATATACAGCACAACCAGAAGGAAGCAGAAAGCTTCAAGGTTCAGCAAGGAGCCCGATAGGTCTGTGCCAGGCACCGAAGTCGTTGCGGGGACCGGGAAAGAGATGGCCATCGTTACGATAGATTTGGGCCGTCTTCCCATCCTTGTGAGAGATGCTGAAGTGATTGTCGTCTATGGCTGCTAGGCGCCACTTCGCGAGCTGAATGAAGCGATCGCCCCAATGTCCGAACTCTGGGTTGCATTCTCCATGGGCCTTCTCGGCGATATCGGGGCAGGTCCAGTGGGCGGGCAATCTGCTGACCACCATCTCATTATGATGATTCCAATGCTGGTTGTTGCCTGCGTGCCGAGTCCCGTCGTGGCCTCGGAAAATCTCCAAGGTCTTGGCAGTGGGGGTGAAGTAGAAATTGAAGTGGTTGTCGTCAGCTGCGCCAAATCGCATTTTGCCCACCTGTATGAACCTATCTCCGAAGGTGACGCCTGTCTGAAACCCTTCACCACGGTCGTAGAGGTTCCAGCCGGTTGAGTGGTGCACTGAGAGGTCGTGGCCCCGCCAAGTCTGGGCGCATTTGTGGTGGTTGGAATCCACGCTGAAGTGATCATCATCATTGGCACCAATACGGAAGTTGCCAATCTGGACGAACTGGAAGCCGAACCTGACTTGAAAAAAACCATCGCCTCCAAGCCTGTGCGTAAGCGTCTAAACCCCTGGACCTTGGCGTCCCTCGCATGCCGATACCGTGAACCCCTAACGTGAACTCTACACCTACACCCGAACACCAGTCGAAGGGGCGAGATCCCTTTGGACGGCCCGGCCGCCCTGTTCCAGGCCTCACGATTTTGGTTACGATGCCAGGGACGCCAGAAGGTTCTCCCATCGTTCCGCCACACAATCGGAACCTCGCCTTTTTGGAGGGTTTGGGGTTTAGGCAACATCACCTCAAGGAAGGGCCCCTTCTAATAGGCGAGGCCTTCATGCTGTTGAGAATTGTATAGGGAACCCCCAGCCCAGAGACTGTGGGGTCCAAAGAAGGATGCTAAGATCTCATCCAAGGCACCGTTACTGTGCTGCAGAACCAAGTGTTGGCCATCAATGTCGGCCAATCGCCATGTGTTCCCCAGTTGAATGAATCGATCTCCCATGACGAGTGCCGGGCATGTGGTGCTTCCAGAGGCCCTCAGAACCAGAGACTCCAGAAAAGGAGCGAAGAGGTGATCCTTTAAGGGCGTGACAAGCATGGAAAAAGCTTCATTAAACCGCTCCGAGAGTCCTCGTGTCATGATTTCTCACTTGTTCGGGTGGCGGGAGCTCTTCCCCGGGTGGAGGCCCTCGGCCCGCGTGCTTGCACCCAAGCTCTGCTGCGCAGGGGGCAGAGTCGAAGCCGGGAGTCGTGTAGACCTCCTTGCAGAAGAGCTTCTGGGGGGAGAGCAGCTGAATCGCTGGTAGGCCCAAGTCAAGGTTAAGGTTCGGGATGAGTCCTGTGATTTGGGATGCTGCCTCTCGAGCCGCCGCCATGATGAAATTTGTAGCTGTGCTGGCACCTGGAATGCACTGGAGCGGCCCCGTCATGGCTCTGAGCATGGCTGCAGCACTGGCCATGACGGCTGCTGTGAACTGATCAATGAGGAAGCGGCTGTTGAAGCGAGATTTGAAAAGAGCTGGCAGCGCGAAGCCCGTGATGTCGACGTCGGCATAGATGTTGAGGGCGGCTGCTCCGCACATCTCCAGGTTACTCGTTGTCATGTTCAAATTCGAGTTAGACCCGGCTGCAGCAGAAACATGGTGAGACTCCTCAATGAAGAGCAGCCCATGGCCCGACTCGTAACTCCTCGGGCATGCGCTGAAGCGTCTCGGAACCAAAAAAAACATCGCGTCCGGACTTCAATAAAGCAAACAAGTCGCTGACGCTAGCTTAAAACGAACTTTACAGAAGCTGTCATAGGCAAAACCAACGGAAACTCTTCTGGAACAAGCTCTGGCTTCAGTGTGCCTTGGGCTTTGGCCTCAGCATGCACCATAGGCCTGACTGATCTGAATGTCTTGTCTTGGGCTGTGCTTAATAACTGTCAGGACATTGCAAAACCTTACACTGTTAGGTGGGTATAGTTGTGTGGGTGCGGCATTTAGGGAGATGTAGACGAGCCTGAAAGTGATAGGAATACCCGGCACTGGCCAAATCGTGAGGACCGGTCCCAAACTCCTTACTTGATGCTGAGGCATCTAAACTTCGAAGCAAGAGACTACTAACAACCGTAAATGTCACTGCTAAAGGAGCTGATTCCAGCAGCTCCCCACGACGTCGTGCGTGTTTCTACAGATCTGCGTGCTCGAATGCTCAGACTCAAGCCTTAGTCGCTGCCTCGATGATTCCAAGGCTCACCCTAGCGGATGCCGTAGCACTGGCTCCAATCGCGAAGCCTTGCTTGTGCGTGATCTCTGGGCTGTTCACATCCACGTCTGCATGACCGTTCCTGAGAATGCTTCAGGATTAGATTGAGGCTTCCGTGTACATCACCCCGTTTCCTGTCGAGTCCAAAGCTCGCCGTGGCACGCACGGAGCCCGCGATTCGAAAGTCCGCTTCGGTGCTCACTTCGAGAGTTCCCGTCAGGGTACCCTCCAGGTTCAGCTCTGCAACCATCTGAAGCATGATCACGATGCAAAACTTACCAGCACAAATGATCTTCTTCTTGGGAGGATCCGGAAATCCTTTCATGGCCTGGGCATCAGGATTCACATGTCAGTAGCGACTGTGCTGGCGCTCAGATGATACGTCACGTCGTACAAGACCGACCACCACCACCACCCCGGAAACCAGAAACATGGCAGCCGCACACGCATCAGCCAGACCAGCAGCAGCAGCAGAAACAGAGGCAGCAACAGCGTCAGCAGCGGAAACAGAAACAGAGGCGAAACAGATGCAGCGACAGCGTCAGCAGCAGGAGCAGCGGCAGTAGCAGCACCACCACCAGCGACATCAACGTCGCAGTCAGCAACGGAGCAGCAGTTCGCCTCTCCCTTTCCGGCCTTGTAGGAGCAGCTGCCTTGCGCCTCGACCAGAGCTTGAACGGATGCGCGCACCATGCCACTGATGTGGAACTCTGTCGTTCCTGGGCTGACGTGATAGTGTTGCTTCTCAAAACAAAGTGGCAGCAGCATTTTCAACGACTGGCAGCAGGCGTCTTGCAAAAAACGCACGTAGGCTCTGCCCAGTCTCCGCTGTCATGAACAGTGATGGTCACATCTGGTACAAACTGGACAACGCCATCGATGGCAACCTCGGATAGGACATGGCAACCCGTGTCTGCTGATGGCCGCTGCACTCCAACAATGAAGCAATCATGAAACATGAAAGTCATACAATGATAGCTCCTCCTCTTGCAATCGGAGGCACATCCAACGACGACTCACACGAGCCTTGCTTGGCAATCTAGGAGCATAGTAGAAGGCGAGATTTGGGCAGGCGCTTAAATGGTCCGGACTTGGGAGCCTGACTTTTTAGTTAGCACAGGCCCGCAATCCCTGGTCTCCAGCCCCAAAACATGATTCCCTCTGCTAGTAGAGCCGAAACTCGTCTCAGAGCAATGCTACCTGACCCAAGTCCCCGAACTCTGAATACCAGTAAGACAAGGCACTCGAGGTTCCTGACGTCTTCTTGTTCTTCAGTGCATCCTGGCTCTTCAACACCTGGCCTGCGTGCCTGGCAGATTTCGGATTCCATTTATGGGCAGGGAATGAGGCCTACGGGGGCTGTGGCCTGCTTGGGGTTGAGGGCTGCGGGTCTAGAAGTTGCTTTAGTTCAAGACAGCCATCATCTCCCGAATAGCGACGAAATGGAAAATTTCGGTTTGCACCTTGAACCCTAAACTCTGAGCCTGAGCCCTTGACAAATACAAAAGAAACGGGGTGCCACTACGAGTCGAAGCTCTTGAAAGCTTGCACGAACGGCGCTCCAGGCAGTATGTTCATACCTCATCTGTTCCCGCAAATCCCGCCAAGAATAAAGTTCTTGAGTTTAACACTTTAACGCAGCTAGCAATACAAAAACTCCAATAACGGTCAAGCCACCCTCCAGGGTTGTGCCTTCCAGATTGCTCTGTTGAACTGCTGCCAGCCCGAAGCCTTGGGAAAACTCGGCGCCTGCCCGAAAGACACACCGCACCGAGAAGCGGTCCGTCGCGATCGTGACGTCACTGCCAGCGTTGCAGTCGCACTGGTCGCCAATCAAGACTGAACACAGAGAGAACATCTCTTTCAGACAGTTGACAATCTTCTTGATTTCGGTCCAGGCTGCCCTGGCCAACCCCTCAGCCAACCTTCCCACTTCCGCGAGGGATTGTTGGGCATGTTCTAGCGCCGTTCCCGCAAGATCAACGGTTGTATCTACCACCATCTCTCCTACACTCACCACTGTGTTGACGACACCTACCGCCGTTTGCCCGATGGTGTTTGCGGCAGTCTTGATCGCTGGAGGCAAGCTCTGCAAGGTGGTCTCTGCTGCTGTTACGACAGTGTTCCCGACAGCCACGGCCGCATTGCCAATCACGCTGCCAACAGTTTCCAACCCATCAGCAATGGCTCCAAAGAACTTCGCTGACACCACGGCATCAAGCTCCTCGTCAACACTTGAAAAATTGGTCTTCTCACCCACCAACATCTTCGAGCGAGAGGAGCGGGCCACAAGAGCATTCTGCACAGCCATCTCAGACCCCTTGAGATCGTTCTCGGAGCGTGAAAGGTGCACAGAATGTCCAGCAATCGCGGCTTCCGACGAGTTGGTGATCAACTCCTGCATAACTTTCATGGATGAAGCCACGGAGAACGTGGCCCACATCATGACCAAGTACGATGGCCATCGCCAAAGGAATTGCTTCATTTTACACGAACACTGAAGGTTTTCAGGAAAGAGAGCCCCAGCTGTGCTGTCGTCGCTGGAGCCAGGAAAAGGCTTCAAGGCGTTATTGGCTTCCCTCGGACTTCGTTCACGCAAGCTCAAGCTAGGCTCAGGTCTCCAGATGTGATGTTTGCAAAAACACACTCAGGAATTGGGTCTTGCAAAACTGCGAAGAACTTTTTTCTTGGCTTGGTTTGGCCTCAGTGACAGCACGGCAGTACTTGGTGCGAAGAGTTTACGAGCAAATGAAGGCTGCCGGATCAAAAAAAAATAGGATCAAGCCAAAAATAAAAGTTCAGGATCAAAAAGAAAATAAAACAGGATCCATAAAAAAAATAAAACGCGAACCCGGGCTGTCACGGCAGTAACACAAAAACGCGAACCCGGGCTGTCATTGCCATCCTCCAAGTACTACTGCGTCTCAGGGCTCAGGGTGATCGATGCCTGCAATTGGTGTCTCTGGCATTATTTTCCCAAAGGGTCCAAAGTATGCGCATGGGGAGCACTTTGCGTGAGTGTAGCCATATGGTGAACATGGACGGTCCGAAATGTCGCTGGGGCAAAAAATGCTCCCTCTGACGAAAGTATCATCTGTGTAACTTTTGGGCCAAAAAATCGCACCAATTGAAAAAACAAGTTTTCGGTGTTCTTCGCTCAAGTAACACGAGAACTCAAACATTTTAGGTATATCAAAACAAGTATAGACATAACATGTGCGAAGCAGATAGTGGCACAATTTGCCACGCACGAAGAACACTCGAAAAAAACATTAAGTTCGTCAATCGTACCATTACTCTCGAGTACACACACCTATATACTTTGGGCGGCCGAAATATGAGTACACAAAACAGAAGTTCGAACAATACCGATACACCACGACACGTGTGCAATAATCCTTGTTCCATTGTTATATGACGCCGCGAGCTTCAGTGTCTTGATGTTCGGGCCCTCCTGCTGCTATATGACGGTGAATGAACCCTGCTGATTTTGCATCAGGCTGCAGCCATGCCGTCATACCGTGAAACTTTCGCTGTGGTCACTAACCATTGAGATGTTATCAGACTCAAGCAGTCGAAGGCATTCATGTTGGATGGCGGTTTCTGGGCTTCTTCAGTGCTTTTGAAATGGCACATGAAACATGCTCATGAACTCACGAGGAGGGGGGGCACGGTGGGGCACCATTCCTGTGCTGTTAATTGTGGCATATGTTCGCATTGTGTTGGTCATATCAGAACAAGAAACAAGTTACTGCCAACAAGAAACAATAAAATTGCTAGGTTGCTAGGCTAGACTCGTTGTTATGCGGACTGAGATTGGCACTCGCGCGATGTATTTGCTAGCAATCCTGTAAGGCAAAATTTGGAAACCTCCGTGAAAAGCAGCCGACAACCATCGCTAAAGGCGGTGACAAGGCCGGTATGACATCACATTAACAACATATTGCGGCTCAACCACGTTATTGGCATATGTTTGTAAGATGTTGCCCAGGTCATCCGATAAGCTTCCTTTGTTTTGTATACATCGGCGTCCATTGTTGAGAATTTCATTCGGCAAATCAGCATGTCTTTGTGCAAGTTTTCTCGATGCTCGACATCGGGCAGCCTGCGATTCAGAAATAACTGCAATCGTGTTTTGTAGCCTAGGTTGTGTCGCCGGTGTTTGTTTTTGTAAAGCGCGGCTGTGTCAGCTGTGTTTGGTTGTCGCTTGACGGTGGTAAAGTTGTTGGCATGTTAAGTCCCTTTAACTTGCGCACGTTTCGGGGTCTATCGTGGGCGCCCGTTTGTGTTTTTTCTGTGAAGAACTTGGAAAGGGTTGTGTCTTGCAAGTTGAGTTTGTTTGCGGCTGAATTCTGCTTGTTTGATGCGCAACTCATGATAGACATTGTGTTCTCATCGCCTTTCGCAAGTCTGCAGCCGCCATTTGTCATACTGTACTTAAGGGCAGCAAAGTAAGGGGGTTGGTTGAAACAAGTTGTGTATCGTCGGTTGGTTGGCCGGCTTCTGTTTGGCGTATCATCTGATGGTATCTTGTGCAGAATGCATCGCGGTCTGAGGTGCAGCTTCCAACGGTGTCGAGGTGCAATTTTTTCAAGTAGTAATTCGCGAGCGGTCTTGGGAAATTGAACTTTTAAAATGCTGCTAAACAATCTCAAGGCAGGATCGGCGGGGCTGGCCGGTTCCCCGAGACAAAACATGAGCAAGCGTGAACCACTTCCTGCAATCTTCAATCCCTATTCGTCCTATTCCTGTGCGGCCTTGGGTTGGGGAGCTCTGTTGAAGGTTGGAGGGTTTGGTTTGGGGGAAAGGTGTTTTGGGTTTGCAGCCTCGTGGAAGTGCCGGAAGCCCTCTCAGACACGACACTGCCTTAAGCTATGATTTGCATGATAACAAACAATTAAGATCACAGACAGCCTCTGCGCATGACAATTTGTTTTCTTGAACCAATGATGAAAAGCCGAAGCTGAAATCCAGTAAAATGTATCATGCCACTCCCTGCCGCAAGCGCATCATAAGGTCGTCCCTAAGAGGGCGGATTGCAAAATGTAGGCCTTTGAGCAAGCCCAACAATACACCAAACCACCGATTTCTAGTGCACCAAATCCAGGCGATTCGCTCTAAGTATCGTGTGAAACATGGCAATGGTTTGACTGACTTCAAAACACTTTTCGCATGACAGAACACAAGTAGCCAAAATCGGACCCCACAGAACTGAAATTTCCGTTTGGGTATGCGTGGATGTGACTTGGAGAGATTCCGGGCACCCGGGCCGAGCAGGAACGACCCGAATCACGCGAAATCACGCGGAATCACGGCCAAAAGTGCCTGTAAGGGCACTTTGTCGGCCCAAATCACGCCGAATCACGGCGAATCATGGCACTTTTGACCGTGATTCCGCGTGATTTGGCGTGATTCGGGTCTCTCGCGCCCTCGGGGAGGGAGACCTGGGGTCGACATTTTGGGGGCCTCGAGATCGGGCGCTGGCCGCCCGCGGCATGGCAGTTTAATTAATCCAAAAACACCACCCCACAACATCGCAATTTCCTCTGTGTCATACCGAGAAAGTGGTCCGGAGGGTAAAGGGCAAACACTTTCCGCAACATTTCATTCGCTTGGGACAACTCGGAAGGTGATGTGACATTATGCTGATCTGGGGCATTGGGCAGGTTTGTATTGTTTTGTGGTGAGTTGCTTAAGGCTTAGTGGCTTAGTTGGTTATGAATTAGTTAATTAGTTTTCTGCGGTGATCGGTGGTCCACCGTGTCGTTGTTACAGGTATCGGTCTTGTGGGGTTGCAGTGCTATCGTCTTGAGGGTAGGCTTCGAGAGAAGTACTGATGTCTAACCCTAAACTTTCGAAAAGCCTCCCCAGTCCCCCAAACCTTCCACCATCTTCCGCGCGGTCTCTCCAAACCCTCCAAAACAATCCAAAGACGTCCCGAAACCCATTAAAGCTTCCGCGAGCCCCGACAAACTTCCACTAGACCCCACAAAACTCAACAAAAAAACAATGTTTTTGGTGAGGACATGATCAGGCCGGGGTTCAGGAATATCGGGCTGTGGGTCTGGCTCAAGGCGCTACGGAGCAAATGAAATTGGATGATTCCTAAGGTTACAAAACGTAAATCTTAGGGTTCATGTCTTCACTGGACTGTTTGATGCACCGCATGCCCTTCCCTGCCAAGCTGCTGGATTGAACAGAGTGATCATCAGTTGATCAAATAAACCAGTTTCCCAAAAACGAAACTGTGGCAACTGAAGCAAAATCGCACAGTTCAGGCCGCATGTCATGCTGGAGAACAACCAACACACCATGGAAAAGTCGACATACCGGTATTATGCAGTGCATTCGCTCCGTAACCGTAGCATTTTAACACCACCCTTATCAGCTACACAGCAACCGGTACAACAAGAAACACCGCAGGAAAGCCCGAACTGCAAAACTCACGTACGCATATCGCACCCCGGCAAAGCCACAACCTGACGTAGATCCTGATAACAGTCGCGCACATTCCAGCCTCCCGAGACATCGAACCTTTTACGAAAAGAGCGTTGCAACCAGCATGCCCAATGTTCTGTGCTGGATCGTGTGATGTTTGTACGGACCCGTGGATTTTGGAAAAAATCACTTCCAAGCTCATGCAAACAACACCATGTGCGGTTTATGTTACGGTACTCTTACGAGGAGAAACCGGTCTAATCACGTACATGCGTACTGGAACCAGCCGGTGAAGGCTGAGCGTTCTGCACTAGCGATCCTGGCAAATGAAATATACATATTTATGATTCTAACAAATAATATTGAATGATCGCGCTTCGTGTGTATATGTATATCCATATGTATGTATGTATATAGACA